TTTGCGTCTTTTTCATATTACATGACATTTGAGCATGTCAACAATAATGTTACCAACTCGGGTCCCCTTCTTCTATGAATCTGGTAATAGGTAATTAACATCCAATTTGTCTAAGACTGTCCAGCTCGTACATTTCCAAATTAAGCCCATACACCAAGCTAACTAGAACAATGTGTGTAACCTATCAAAATTCTTGTCGGTTATTCAAACAAACTTTACATACTGATGTCGAGAATCTAAATATTCTTACTATCTGATCTAGATCTTGAATATCTGACCAATAGTTGGTGCCATCGTCAGCAAATCCATTTACCCATTTATGGGACCAACTTATATTAGTTGTTCATACAACATACATACATACATACATATATCACGCCTTTATCCCTTGGGGTAGGCAGAGCGTCAACGGCCGTAAGAGTACGGTCGTTATCGCCACGTCTGACACATATTTGAGGGACGTTTTAGCAATTGTCGTGTATCGCTATAGTGACAGGTTGTCAGCCTGTCGCCTAAAATTGCAATACACATGATACCCTCGAGTCCTTTAGTCGCTTCTTACGACACCCACAGGAAAAAAATGGGGTTATGCTATTCTAAGCCGGCATCACATGGCAATTTGTTCATACAAATACTAAGAAAATCCAGTTTATGTTGACGGTTGACCCCTTTCGTTGGTAGGTGGATTTGCTGGCGATAGCTCTATTGGCAACACCTTGTATCACCTATTCAAAGAATCGATCAGACTATCAATCTATAGGCACTTCTATGTTATCTATCTATCATACTTACAGTTATCTGTTAAGAATAACGAGGTAGGTAAATCCCAGAAATGCTACTTCCTGATATTAGGATGATACCTGCGACTTAGAGATTTATTTTACATATTTACTTTAAGCTGTTTCTTATTTATTACTTAAAAATATATTAGGTACTACCTACTACTACCTACCACAGTCAATTTGTTCATATTTTGACCTATGTTTCTTGGGCACAGTTGTTAAGTTGCATTTACTGATTAAAAAAATACTGCTATATTTCCTTACATAAAATACTTAGGTCTTCTTAAACTATACAAATGTAACAGAAGATTTCTACAGCCACCGTCTTTAAAGTATGTTACCTTATAACCTAATAGCCACAGAAGTCCACTGCCTGTCAGGGGGGCATTGCCATACTCACCACGCTTGGCAGCCTTGGCAGGCGGATCGGGGTGCGCAGTGCAAGACGTTTAATTCACTGGAAACGCTGCTGCCCATTCCCTGGATAATTATTCCTTACCTTAGTCACTCCTTACTACATTCATGGGTAGAATTGGGGTGATGCTATTCTAAGCCGGCTTCACACGGCACAAATAAATAAATAAATACATCATGGATACCAATAAAATCGGGAATGTTTCTTGTGCGTTTTATGTCTTTGGATTAAGCTTGATTGTTTTCGATTCGCATAAACTCGTAGACGAAGGTAGTATTACATCTTCCAATAATGATCAACGCAACGATGAAATGTAGATAGCTTGACATAAAATTTGGAAAAAGTACAAGGATGTTTCGGTCGATACAATACAATGCGTAAAAGTTTCCAGACAAACATAGGTACCTCATTGTGTATATTTTTTAATAAAATTACCTTGATGGAACAGTATTTTGATAAGGGGTGCTTATACACTTTACCAAAATGTCGGACACCACTTTACCAAAGTCCAATTTCGATTGCAGAATATTTAATAGTTCAATATCTATGACATTCAAATATGACAACCTCGACTGAACTTTCCGTAATGCGTGCCGTATTCCTAATTAGTGGTAGTACAATTATTATGACCGCGGTCCTTGGGATTGTATTGTATGAAAATTATACCAAAGAAATACCAAGCGAATTGTCGTAGATATTTTTCTCATATTACATATTTAAAATTCCGCTAATGATACACAAATTAGGGAAACGGCGCGCGGGGCGCCTACTGAACCATACACAGGTGCACAGTTCCTAAATAGTCTGTTTTCTTTTATACTTAGCCCGTGCGTAAATACTTACACCCGCCTATCTCATAGATAACAGTTTTATACAATTAAAAAATACAAATATGTATTTGAAGGTCACAAACCTACAATACTACAACGTCTCGTGATTTTTATGAAGTAATTAATAAGCATATTATGACTGATACCGCAATTAGATAACCAGTGATGTAAACTGATTATTACATTGCTTCTGCACCAGTATTACTTGAAATGAAATGCACAATACACCCAGCTATGTATGCTCAATAGGATCATTCATAGTTCTTGAAACGTTTTAGAGAGGGCTCTGCTTAGCGTAACAAGATCGAAAAAACGAATTTGATCTAATATTATTTAACGATCGACTATAACAGTTTTCATTAATCTTATTTAAGTTTAAACACATTTTTTAACTACAATTCAATTAAATGTTGCCAACGAAACGACTATGATTCTAAAGTAAAACACCAAAGTCCTAAAACGCGGTATCAACATTTTTTTACCACTTGATGATAAATTTAGTGTCAACACTTTGTTTGCCGGGGTGGTCTCATCTACACAGTAAGCCAGTGAATTGGGGAGCTGGTCGCGTTTCTCCAACAGCCCTTCGCTATACAACACATAATATGTCTGCTTGTGTTCGTAAAAACCAAAATGAAAAAAAAAAACTCTGGCACTTGACCATTTAGAGATTTCTCAACACCACTGCTGTAGATCAATTGACCACCCTTTTTGTTGCTTTTCTAATAAAACAATAGTATTTTTTTTTATTAAAGTTAATTTATTGGTAGGAAAGTGCAGTGACGAGACCGATGTTTTTTAACTTTTTTGGAAAACTCGCAAAAGGTATTTAATTACAACTTCTATCGTAGACATCAAATAACTGCAAAAATACTTACTCATTAATAAACCTCAAACTCAAAGTAGGCATTAGACTTTTTGAATATGACTTATGTCGTGTGGTGCCGGCTTGATATTAGCATCCAGGCAATGGGCAACAGCATTCCCTATGAATGAAACAACTTGCACTGCGCTCGCCAATCCGCCTGCCAAACGTAGTGAGTATGGCTCCAAAAAAAGGCTGTCCATGTCCAACAATGGACTGTTGTGGCTATAGTAGTAGTAGTAGTAGTAATAGTAACAGTAGTTTAATATGATATCAAAAAATGTATTACTATAACCTACTTATTATTTCGGCACTATATCACAAATTAGGAAGATGACGCGCGGGGCGCAGCATGCCTATATCACCCACTTCCCATACAACATGTACCAGCAGCCGATCATACTTCAACCACTACCAGCAGCATATATTCCTTAGGGACAGTTGAACCTAATTACCAGTCCGTCCTAAGGTTTTGGTATCGGTTTTGGTGAGTTCCGACTCGACCCTGACACGGAGCTAACATGCCATTCAGTGTTTTTCTGTAAATAAAACAAGAAATTGTCGTTCGCGATTAATTTTTATGCCCGGTCCGATACGTTATTGCGCGTAGCAGAAACCTATAAAAATAAGTGCTCGTAATCGTAAATATGCCTACGCCGTAGCCTAGCTGCTACGAAACCTTCGAGTCAAAGGTCTACGAAGCAGTTTTTATTTCCTACGTTTTTTTTAACAAGTTTACGGGTAATTTGAACACATTAGGGTAGAAACACACGTAACTTCTGTTTGTTCGTCATTCGTTCAATTCTCCACCCTACCTTCATACGAATACGGTTTATGTCAAACGGCATCGCACAAGGCTACTTTGACGGATGCGTCTATCAAACCGTTTTAAATAAACCGTATTCGTGTTAAAATAAGGTGGAAAGTCGTGACCGTGTGTTTCTCGCCTTAACCGCTTGCGGCGACATGGTAACGCATAACTTAGTGGTGTTTTGTGACAAATAAAATGGCTAACTACTTCTTGCTGGTCCCGCAACAAAAAGCCATTTTCAGCATTGCGATTAGCATAGAACATATACCTAATATTACAGAGTAGTTCAGGCTCAGGAACATTTAACTTATAATGCTATCACAGTTGTGTAGGTAAACCTAGATAACTACCTACTGCACGGAAAAAAAAATGTTGCCATTGGAATAAAAAAACTTTGTTACTGGAGAGCCGTCAAAGGTAAATAGTTAAAAAGACATTGTTTTTATTGTTAACTATACTTGTGTTGATCATGAGATATTGTAATTTTAACAAAATATAGTAGATGACGAGACAATTTGAATATTGTTCTTATGACAATGAGTTTTTGTACCCTTTTTCTCGTAACAAATGCCTATAGTTACAGAATCAAAGTAACTTTGTAATTAAAACAAACCACTTTGTCGCTCAGACTAAGCCGCTTTGTTACTTAGGCAATGCCACCTTGTCATTTATGCAATGCCACTTTGTCGTTAAAGCTAAGCCACTTTGTCACTTAGGCAATGCTACTTTGTCGCTTAGGCAATGTCACTTTGTCGTATGTACAATAGAGGATAAGGCCGATCAACCGATCAAGCCAAAAACCAGAGGCACTGTTGTTAAATCTGACCCACTTTTACCAAGAAACATGTGTCAAAACCTACATTACGACACATGTTTCTGAGAAAAAGTGGTTCAGATGTAACAGCAGTACCTCTGGTTTTTGGCATGATCGGTTGGTCGGCCTCGTCCTCTATTGTACATATACGACAAAGTCGCTTTGTCTTAGGCTTGATCGACCCTATAGTATAAAATAAATGAAAATACAAAAATATAGCAATCACGTCAACAATTATTTATTATTTCTAAATCAAATACGCAAAATATAATTAAGAAATTATTAAGTATTAGGCCTCAATGACAAAAGGTACAATTCTTAAAAATACAAAAATTAGAACTAATAGGTACTAATTAGTATTACTAGGACTAGTAGAACCACGAGCAGAACTGTTGCTGTTCTGAAAAAAAGAAAAACGAATAATTGTAAACATGCACAAAGAACACCCAGACCCAAGAATAGACACCTAAGTATTCAAATATCTGCCTCAACCGGGAATCGAACCCGCGGGACCTTCTGCGCTGAAAGCAGTTGCACTACCACTGCGCCACACCGGTTGACAACACACAAGATCACACATGCCACGACCAGCGCCGCTCGGTCTTGTAAGTCGACGCTTACCTACATAAATCAGCGTAATCTAAGCTACTGTAGTACTTATACAAATCCAACATGTTTACGTATAACTTGAGTGTACCAATACGCGGACAATATACACGAAAATTGTAGGGAACAGTTGAAAATGGGCCGGACACCTAAGACAGGCGCCATTTTAAAGAATCATGGAAAACAAGATAGCAAAGCATAAAAATGTTTCACACTTTTTTTTTACTTTATTTTAGTTAGACATGATAGGTATAGGTAGGTACTTACCGATCAGAGACGGCCCGAAATGCTCCAAGCCGTTGTTGAGGAGAAAAGTCTCCACGCGATAGTGGACAAGATACACTTCCTTAATTTCGCGGGCTCGATTAGAACCGCGGTAGCCCAGTTGGTTAGGGCGTCGGCAGTACTGATGCCGAAGGTCGCAGGTTCAAATCCTGCCTGCGGTGAAATATTGGAAATTTTCCAAAAAAAAGTCTCCAGATCTTCCATTTCTAAAAAATCGCGCGACCGTTCAATAAGGCGACTGTGTTTAGAATGATGGACGCTAACGGGTTGCGAGATTCACAAAGCAGCTTGCGCGTGCGGCAATTTACATTGTCATTTTATTTTGGCTACATTGTTGTGATGATAACCTGCATTTTGTTACTTTTCCACTTTGGCCTACTAACAATACGCTCTAGTCATAGTAACAAAAGTTACTTTGATGGATTATACTTTGCTGCGACATCACTTTTTATATTTGTTCAGTTGGCAAAGCACTGTTGACACCCCGTTCAAACTTTTGAACATAGTTACAGTACATAAGTATGTGTTGTTGATTTAACAAAAAAAAAATTAACAATAAAATAAATGTCAATGCCACTATTTGCCTATTTTTGCAACGACAATGCACTTAAGTGTTGCAACAATAAAAATCTAACAAAGCTTTTATTAACACTTTGTTAGCCGTTTTTTTTTTCAGTGTGGCACAATTCATCAAAGGACAAAAGATATACAAACCGAATGTTGCATAAAAATCCTCGTATTACTTTTCGTAGGTACACGCCGTATAAACACGACCCACATAAGAGGGCTGCCTACCCTCCTTCTTTTTGTAAATGCCTTTGAAGTGACCAAACAACCATCTTGTAATCAAGGCTGGACCGGTCTAATCAGAGCCTCGTTTGTTCCAGGTTAATGTACCACGAGTGAAAGAGACCACCACCTTGGCACCCCCCAAAAACCGTTGCATGGAGCGGGACGGAACAGCGTCGCGAGCTCCGTCGCGGAAATACGAAAACCGCAGTAGGTAGTCGATAGACCAGAAGCTGACAGCTTAAAAACTTTTGGACTGAAATTTTGTGTGGACTTGTGTTGGGACAATGTGCGTGTAGCTGTTCATATTGGGGTGGTGCGTGGACTAGTGGTGCAGGTCGGTGTGGAGTTGGCTTGTGTGATGCGGCGGGCCCGGTGGCGCACAGTGGTACCCGAAGAGCAGTCTTTCTCGCTGGTCTGACGAATCTGCAAAGGTAAGATTTGATATAGTAATAATTTTACAGGTTTTGGTACGTAAATACCAGCTATAACGGTCTCTGGACATTAACCAAAGGGCTAACCGAAACTTTGCTTTGCGTATATTAACCTAATTCAATTAAACATGTTTATAATATTTCGGCGTGGAACCGAATGATTGGAGAAGGTGGTCGAATGTCTTCAGGGTCGACAGTATCCTCGAGGTGATCTCCAGACATCACGAAGAAAAATCAGCAAATTGTTGGTAATAATAATTTAATCAGCATTAATTAATTAATAATTAAGCGCTACAACAATTATTATTGTGATTCAGGCGTGAACCGTATCACACTTAGGATGTGGTCGGAACGGATGCCTCGCTGGGAATGAGCCGGAACGCCCGTGCGCCCGCTTATAAAGGCCGGCCGCTCCGTCCCCCTGATTCACGGAGTGGCGCGATGACGCTGCGCTGCACGTGCGCAGTGGCGCGATGACGTTTCGTTGCAAGTTGTTTTTCGTTCGTGCCGCCGACACGGCCATTCTGCAAACAGGTCGTCCTCGGCCTGAAATAAAACAACAGCGCACAGTACATTTTGTATACTGGCCACCACTAGATCCCCTAAAGATCATTTTGCCTCAATAAAAGGTCTTTGTCATAAGCAAGCAACTCAGAAGTAAGGAGGCCCCTGTCCTCAATTTATGCAACTCAGAAGTAAGGAGGCCCCTGTCCTCAACTTATGCAACTCAATAATAAGGAGGCCCCTGTCCTCAACTTATGCAACTCAATCATAAGGAGGCCCCTGTCCTCAACTTAAGCAACTCTATAGTAAGGAGGCCCCTGTCCTCAACTTAAGCAACTCAACAAATGCTTCAATTAAAAAAAGCAAAAGATAAGTACCTTTAAAGTTCTTCGTTATCGCCAAGTGCTGTACCATTGTCTCCTTCAGTTGCTCTGGAACTTTGCGAAGCTGTTGCACAGTTTCCATCCACCGCCGACGCGGGATCTTGATTTGTGCCATCACCTGGTTTGGGTGCAAGTCTTAATTGGTCGTGGGCTACTTTCTTTGGGCGTCCTCGCCCTGTTATCTTCTTTACTTGATACCGATCATTCGGGAGCACCTTCCATATTTCATAGGCATCTGGAAATTTAAGGTCAAGTCCGATTTGGGTTCTTGGGTTTGTTTTGAATAAGACTATTTCACCTTTCTGGAATCTCCTCACTGTAGCTTTATTCTTGTCAAATCTTGCCTTGTCTACCTTTCCTCTTGACTCAATATTTCTTTGCATATAACTGTCAAGCTGGGTCCGATCCACTGTTGCTTGGTCTTCATCGATGAGAGTCAACAACTCTGCTGGAACTGAGTATTGCCTTCCGGTAAGAGCTTTAATTGGACTTACATTCGTTGTCTTGTTTTTCGTGCAATTAATTGCTAGCTGAAGTGCTTCTAATCCTTTTTTCCAGTCAGTGTTTTCGTAATTACGAATGATCGTGAGCCCGTTTTTTACCACAGCCATCATTCGCTCTACTTGCCCATTAGCGCGACTTGCCCCCGGAGCAATGAAGTGTTGTTGAATGCCATAAATTTGACAGAATTCTTCAAATTCGGCTTTGAACGCAGTGTCTTGATCACTGATGATCGGCCTGGGAGCCCCAAATAGGGATACCACATGTTTAAGAGCATTAAGCATAGATTTTGCCGTTTTGTTTGTGGCATAAGACAGCGTTACAAATTTAGTGTAGGCGTCGATAATGACAACTACATATTCGTGTTTGTCATTCTTTTTAGTTAGATGACCTGTCATGTCGATATGAATTGTGTCAAAAGGAACTGGATGCTTCACTATGGGATACAGCTTCACCTGTCTGGCTCCCGAAGGGCCCTTGCTTGTTTTGCATATGACGCAATTATCTACGAACTTTCTGACAGTTGTTGACATTTCCGGAAACCAGTAAGTTTCTCTTATTTTGTCTAGGGTTTTTTCCCAGCCGAAATGTTTCAGCGCAGAGTGGTATGCATTGATAATACTCCATTGATAAGATTTCGGTACAACCTTCTTCCATCTTTTGCATCCAGGTTCTTTGTTATCATAGTTGCGTTCTAAAACAAGATCATTGAGACGGTACTCACTTGTTTCCTCGCCTCGTTCTACCTTCTTTATTATTTTGGCTAGTTCTGCGTCCCGTCTCTGTTCAATTTTGAGCCAGTTATCCACGTTTATTGTCAAGTTGACGCAAGTTGCGGGGTTTCGGCTGAAGAAGTCTGCATGTTTCATCCGGTTCCCCTGTCGATATTCCACTTTGAAGTCATAATTTTGGAGAAATGACCACCACCTGTGAATCCTGGGTAGAAGTTCATGTTTGTTAGACGATGACTTGATTGCATTACAGTCTGTTACTACTGTAAAGCTTCTTCCATACAGGTATTGTCTGAAGTGTTTTACTGCTCTTACTATGGCCAGTGTCTCCAGTTCGTAGGAGTGGTAATGGCTTTCCGGTTCTGTTGTTCTCATACTCATATACCCAACCACGTGCTGTCGGCCATCCTTTATTTGAATAAGAACTGCGCCAAGTCCTGAGCTGCTGGCATCAGTATGTAGTTCAATCGCGTGACCTTCCTGAAATATTGTTAGAACAGGTGCTGACGTTAAGCGACGAATAATGTCAAGCCTGACATTTTCGCATTCTGGGGTCCATTCGAACTTGGCATCCTTTTTGGTCAGGTTGTATAGAGGAATCATACGCTCAGCAAAGGATGGTATAAATCGCCTGAAGTAGCCAGCCAAACCACAGAACTGGCGTACCTGTTTGACTGATGTCGGCACCGGAGATTTTTTCTAACGCTTCTACTTTTCTAGGACTTGGCCGCACAGTAGAATTTGAGATGAGAGTGCCAAGGTATTCAATCGAGGTTTTGAAAAAGGAGCACTTCTTGGCATTGACAGTGAACCCAGCTTCTGTAAGTGCTGCCAAAACTTTGTCCAAAGTGTTCATACCTTCAGAAAAAGATTTGCATTTGATTAACACATCATCCATGTAAATCAAAATGTCATCAAGTAAAGGTCGCAGTGCCGTCATTATTGCCCGCTGAAAAACTGCTGGCGCATTCATCAAACCGAAAGGCATTCTGACATATTCGTATAAACCGTCTGGGGTAATGAAGGCCGTTTTAGGAATTGATTTCTCATTAATTGGAATTTGATAGAAACCTTGGGCCATATCCAGACTAATAAAGAAGCTCGCATCTGATAATCTGTCAATCTGGTCTGAAATAATTGGAAGTGGAAATTTAATAGGAACAGTGTTTTTATTCAGTTCCCGGTAGTCAGTACACATGCGGTCCTCTCCATTCTTTTTCTTGACAAGGATTACTGGACTGGCGTAGTTGGAGGTACTTTCTCTTACAATCCCGTTAGCAATCAGATCCTCAATTATAGTCTTCAACTTTTGACGCTCTACTGG